CCTTAAGGTTTTTGGTTGAGAGTGATATCAATCTTTTATGTGGGTTGGAGTCTTATCTCATTGATGTGTTTCTTTCCTGTGAATCTTCTTTCAAAAGACTCAACAAGTGGTATCAGAACTGCCGAAGATTGATCGGATCAAAGGACCCAATAAGTGGTATCGGTACATGGAAGGACCACTAAAGAGCTCGAGGGATTGTTGAATCCAATAGTAACGATGGTATCCCTGAAACTCCGAATGATAACAATCTACCTATTCAATCCATGAAATTGGACTTCCCTAAGTTTAATGGCACAGAACCTTTAAATTGGTTATTTGGTGTTGAGCAGATTTTTACTCTTTGTCATACACCAAAACCACAACGCTTGGCTATCACTGCGATCCATATGGAAGGTGACGCTTTCAAATGCTACAAAGAGAGAATCTCTTTTCAACTTGGCGGGCTCTGGTGGTGCAAGCTGTTGAAGCACATTTTGGTCATGCTTCGTTTGATTCCCCACACGCGACATTGTTCAAACTTCAACAAGTTGATTCGATTCAGATTTATCATCATGAATTTGCTTCATTGTCAAATAGAGTCGAAGGACTTACAGATACTGCACTTTTGTATTGTTTTATTAGCGCTGTGATGTGAAGAGGAAATTGTTGGTTCAATCTCCTACTTCTTTAATAAAAGTGGATATTAAATCCAAGTGTCCAATGTTTGACCTTCAGGATAAAATCAATTGCAAAGGAGGGAGTATTGATATGAATGCGGTGACAATCATTCATGAAGAAAAAATTAATATGAATAAGCTAAAGTGCACTATTAACAAGAAGCGTTAAACCTACAAATTACTGATTAATTACTAACTGTGAAGCACCGACACGACTCCCCTCATCCATGTCGAAGTGTCGCAGGCGAGTCCGACACCGACACCGCCACGACATGTCGTGGAAGCGTGTTCGACTCTTTTTTGCAGTGTCCCCTAGACCAAAAACGCGTCGCAAGGCTTCGGTTCATGGTGGACACAGTGTGACCTAGCTCTGACACGGTGTCAAACACGGCTCCGACTCGAGTATAGTTTTTACAAAAAAAAAATTTGAATTTTTTCTATTTACATTCTTTTTTCTCCCGCTTTTCTTCCTTCCTCTGCACCTTTCCATTTCTACTCCAAAGCTTTCCTTTCATCCAAAAAAGCTTTCCTTTTTTCCTTCCAGTTTTCCTCTGTTGTGTGCTACTGTGTAGTTAATCTGAGAGCACAAACCACACAACGCTCTCTGCCCAATGAACTCCGAAATAACGAAGTAGTTGAAGAGCCACTGTTAGCAATGTTGGTAGGGAAAGAGTGGAGGCGAGAAGGACAATGTTGGTAGGGAAACAAATGAAGAGCCAGAAGATGAAAGGTCTAAGGCAAAATTTGTCCCTTTGCCTCCGGTTTCTAATGAATCATCTATAGATGGTGTTGATCTCCAAAAAAGGAAAACATCCGGATCACTAGATAAAGCTTTCAATATGCAAGCTAGAGAGGCATTAGACTATGAAATTGCTAGGATGTTTTACTCATCGGGATTGCCATTTCATTTAGCAAGAAATCCTTATTATAGGAGAGCTTTTTTCTTTTGCTGCCAATAATTATGTAAGTGGATATCAACCACCAGGTTATAATAAGTTGAGAACAAGTTTGCTTGCTAATGAAAGAAGACATGTAGAGAAGCTTTTGGAGCCAATAAAAAATACATGGAGTAAAAAATGTGTTAGCATTGTTAGTGATGGGTGGAGTGATCCCCAAAGAAGACCTCTCATTAATTTCATGGCTGTTACAAAGAGTGGACCTATGTTTTTAAAGGCTATAGAATGCTCTGATGAGATTAAAGACAAAGATTTTATAGCCAAACAAATGAGAGATGTAATTATGGAAGTTAGACCTTCAAATGTGGTGCAAATTGTGACTGATAATGCACTTGTATGTAAGGCTGCAAGTTTAATGATTAAAGCTGATTTTCCTTGTATTTATTAGACCCCTTGCGTTGTGCACACTCTAAATCTTGTTTTGAAAAATATATGTGCAACAAAGAATACAGAAAAAAACAATATTGCTTATCAAGAATGTTCTTGGATCACAAATATAAGAGATGTTATGTTCATAAAAAATTTCATTATGGGTCACTCAATGAGGTTATCTATTTTCAACTCATTCAACTCATTAAAGTTGCTTTCCGTTGCTCCAACAAGATTTGTTTCTACTATAGTCATGCTTAAGAGATTTAAGTAATTGAAAAAAGGACTCCAAGAGATGGTTATTAGTGATGAATGGTCTTCTTACAAGGAAGATGATGTTGGAAAAACTAAATTTATGAAAGATACATTATTGGATGATGTTTGGTGGGATAAGGTTGATTATATACTTTCTTTCACTAGTCCCATTTATGATGTTCTAAGAAAAACGGATATGGAAGCTTCATCTCTCCATTTAGTATATGAAATGTGGGACTCAATGATTGAAAATGTGAGAAAGGTCATTTATCGATATGAAAGAAAGACGGAAAATGAAGAATCAAGCTTTTATAATGTTGTGCACTTCATATTAATTGAACGTTGGACAAAGAGTAGCACACCTCTCCATTGTTTAGCACATTCTTTAAATCCAAGGTAATATTTTATATTCCTAAATAAAATTTTAGTTACATTTTTATATGTTATTGTAATCATGATTTTTATTTATATTGTAGATATTATAGTCATGAATGGCTAAATGAAGATTCTAATAGAGTTCCTCCACATCAAGATATGGAACTTACTCGTGAAAGGGTGAAATGTTTTAAACGATATTTTGTTGATGTGGATATGAGGAGACAAGTAAATGTAGAGTTTACAAATTTTTCAGATGGAAGAGAAGGTTTTGATGACATTGATTCATTAATTAAGTGAAAGGTGTAAGATGGATGCAAAATCTTGGTGGCTTGTTTATGGTGCTCATGCTCCAGTACTTCAAAAAATTGCTCTTAAACTACTTGGGCAACCATGTTCTTCTTCATGTTGTGAAAGAAATTGGAGTACTTACTCTTTTATTCATTCTATGAAAAGAAACAAGATGACACCATATAGGGCGGAAGATCTAGTATTTGTTCATAGCAACCTCCGTCTTCTTTCAAGGAATTCTCCACAATATAATCAAGAGGAAACAAAAATGTGGGACATAGCAGGAGATGCATTTGGATCACTAGATGAGAGTGAAATGCTTGAAGTTGCTAATTTATCACTTGATAAACCAGAGTTAAAGAGTGTATTTTTCAATGATGATGATCATGAAGGCTACTGTCTTTAATAGATTTGATTCATCTTCTTATTTTGAGACTTTCTTTTTATAAAAAGACAAAGTTCTTATATTGTGAAATAGTAGTTCTTAATATTTTTTGGTTAGGATATCATATGAAAATTTTAAAGTCTAACAACTTTGTCTTGAGAAGATGAATGAATAAATCTTAATTTTTAATTTATATATTTCTCATTTGAATCATATTTAAATTTTTATTAATGTTTAATATATATAAGGTATCCCGGTGTCTTATATTTTAGAAGTTCGCCATGTCCGCGTGTCAGTGTCGTGTATCGATGTATGCGTGTCGGAGTCAATGTTTCATAGATTACTAATGATTATTATATTTATAATTCAGTTGTATTTGTAAGAGGTGATTTCTTGAATTTTTTTTCTATTCTCTATTTCATTATTTATTACCTTGCCAATTTATTTAATTCTATTTTAATAATAAATAAGAAAATATTATCTCAGTTTATATAATTAAATAATTATTTATTGATTTTGAGTATAATATAACATTAATATTATATGATATATCTCATTGAAAAATATAATGAAGGACTAAAACTTGCATGCAGAGAGTTGGATTAGGCTGCAAATTAAAAGTCCACAATTAATTGGACACGAATCCACCAACCTCTCAAAATTTATAGTTTTCGAAATGAAAGTTATGAAGAAGAAAAGAAAACATGAATATGGCCGCCCGAATGGATGGATCATCTGCATTGTGCAGTAAATTTATTAGGATGTCGTAAACTGCAGTTTATTTTTTATGGTTGATGATAAATGAGTAGTTATATTTTTACCGAATGGACCCATTCGTACATGATGGACGTGTTTGCATGTGTATGGATTAATTTTGAAGATAAAAGATATGCTATAATTTAAAAATATGTTAGTAAACTTGATACGAAGAGTTAAAAAAATGTGAGAGAAATGGATAGTGCGTGGAGTTGACAAAAGTGATCCCTGCCGTGGCCTCTAAACCTCTGGAATGAGCGGTCCCACCCGCGTAAAATAGCGATATTCCCTTTCGTTTTCCAACCCACCACGAGGTCACTCCCACACACTCTCCTCTACTTCTTCTCTAGACTTCGACCGAGCCACTCCAACCGCGTCATGCCACACACCACAACTATCAAACAAAAACCAAACCCCAACATCTTCTAGTGCTCATACACAACCTTCTTTTCTTTCTTTCCCACCTCTTCCCTCACCCCACACCCACATTTAGCTAAAAATCCTACACTACCACTAATATGAAAACCAACAACACACTTTTATTTTCTTTCTTATAATTATTTTACTATACTTTAGAAACATTCCATCAATTTCTGTTCCTCCTCTTAATCCCTCGTATTATATAGGTCCCCCCATTAACAAATACAATTACGCCTCCCTCCTCCTTCTGTTATTTCCAGTAAAACCCCCTCCTCTTTTTTCCTTTCTTTCAATTCACGCGTTCACGTCCCTGTCTGGTACATTGTGAACGCGTTATTCTTCTTATCTCTTTCCTCTTCAAAACTCAACTTACCATAATCCAAATTCCAAAACAATTTTGCTCAACAACTTCTCCACTTTAGCCATGTAACACTAATTGCATTACTTAACCAATTTACCTTCCGTTTCGTTTGGAATATAAACTAAAGAGATATTTAAACTCCGATCCCTACATTTCTCTGTCGTTTTGTCTAATCAATGAATGGTATTCCCAAGCACGAGCGCCGGTGGGCGTCCGACACTGTTCCTGGAAGAGCAACTGTTAGCGCCGGAACTTCGCCGGGAACTGAGTCGAACTCCGCTGCGGAGGAGTTCGTCGAGGTTACGCTTGATCTTCAAGATGATGACACTATCGTTCTTCGAAGCGTCGAGCCAGCTTCGGTGATTAACGTCGAGGAGAGCGTCGCCGGCAGCGGATACGAGACTCCGGCGTCGGTTACGCGGTCTCCGACCATCCGGCGGAGCTCGTCGCGAGGGTTCCGGCAGTTCTCGCAAGAGCTGAAGGCGGAGGCGGTGGCCAAGGCGAGGCAGTTCTCGCAGGAGCTTAAATCGGAGTTGCGGCGGTTCTCGTGGAGCCACAGCCAGGCTTCGCGCACGCTCTCGTCTTCCTCCGCTCCGAACGGTGCCGGAGGCGGATTCGAAACGGCGCTGGCGGCTCGCGCTCTCAGGAGGCAACGCGCGCAGCTTGATCGCACGCGCTCCGGCGCGCACAAAGCGCTTCGTGGTCTGAAATTTATCAGCAGCAAATCTAATGGTGTTGATGCGTGGAACGAGGTGCAGAACAACTTCGATAGACTCTCAAAGGACGGTTTTCTCTATCGCGCCGATTTCGCTCAATGCATAGGTCCATTTGTTTTTCGAATCTTGCATTGTTTGTTTAAATCGTTTAATTCGTCATACTACAGAGTTTTCTCTTCCCTCCCTGTTTCATTGCATTTTAGTTTCATTACTTGTTTAGATCTTTCATATTTGGCATATATACTCTTTCTACGGGTTTCTACTGTTTTTTGTTTTTGTCAGCTCAGAGTATTGAGTTTTCTTTATCTCTGTAGGTATGAAGGATTCGAAGGAGTTTGCTTTGGAGCTGTTTGATGCTCTGAGTCGGAAACGAAGGTTGAGAGTTGACAAGATCAACAGGGAAGAACTGTTCGAGTTCTGGTCGCAAATTACCGATCAAAGTTTCGATTCGCGGCTTCAGATCTTCTTCGACATGTAATTATTCGGTCATTATTGTTGTTATTGGTGTTCAATTTAATTAATTAGTGATAAATAATCTTTCTCGGTTTACTTTTGTTCTTTAATTAAGCCCACGACACCTAATGACAAATTAAGCACAACATTGTTAAATGTCACCGCATATTTGATTTAATATTTAAATGTCCGTCAAAGCGTTGATGCTTTCTTTGCTTGTAAGTTGTAATGCAATTATGATCATTACGTGCTTTGTATTTTAAAATAAATTTTGATAATATTCACAGGGTGGACAAGAACGAAGATGGGAGAATCACCGAAGAAGAAGTGAAAGAGGTACATATGACTTTAATTTTATATTCTGAATTCCAAACTGAAACTATATCTTTTATATTTGTTTACAACTGAGATTTTATTTTAATACCTTTTTAATTAATGTGTTATTTTTCTTCATATTATGGACGTAATACGTTGCTTACATATGTTGTCCACTTGAGGTTTAATAAATCAACATTAGGCTGGATTGGTTGAGCTTAATTTAATGGTTACTAAATTAACTGCTTCCAATATTCAATGTTCCTACGTATAACGTTTCCCATGTTCTAGAACGTAATATTAATTAGTGGGTGCATATTCAAGAGTTAGTGAACTATGTCTTACTTTTTTGGCTGTTGTCACACATATAGCGCTTTCATTTTTCTTATTTTACCAAATTCTTGGAATTTATAATGAAGACGTTTTCAGTGGAGTTGGTGGGGGCATAGTCGTCAAGTTAAAAAATTTCTTTTGTCCCTGATATTGTTGTTTTCTTACACGTAATGTTCAGTTAAAACTCAAAAGTTAACATATTATTAACCAATTCGTGTCGCAACTATTGATTACAGATAATCACGTTAAGCGCTTCAGCAAATAGGTTGTCCAGATTGAAAGAACAGGCCGAAGAATATGCAGCTCTGATCATGGAAGAGTTAGACCCCGAAGGACTTGGTTACATCGAGGTGGGAAATCTATCTATCTATCTATCTATCTATCTATCTATCTATCTATCTATATATATATATATATATATATATATATATATATATATATATATATATATATATATATATATATATATATATTCCATTACGGTTTTATCAACACATGCATACATATAGTCAAAATAGTGTGCTCATATTTTTTTCCCATACAAAAAAATTCAAATGATTATTGAAGTAGCGTGTGTATTGCGTGGTAAACGGGAATAATCCATTACTCAAAGTGATAAAAATAATGGTATATTTGAAAGAGATCTAAAACAAAGAGAGTATCAAGATAAAGATGTACATTAAGTATAAATTATATCCAATCTAAAAAATTGAATTATATAATTGTACACACCTTACATTTAAATTTAAAGTTTTAAGTATTTAAAGTAATAAGTATTAATCAATATTTATTAGACTAATTAATCTAAAGTAATAATAGTAATTAAGATTTATTAGACTAATTAATCCAATTAAAACAACTATTATAACATTATTACTGAATTTTAACATATTAGTCGGATTTGATTTATTGTGCGACATTATTTTTTTATACAATTTTCATGAGATTATTAAACTAGAAAACACAAAAATTTATTTTTCTTGAAATATAAGGTTTTCTTGACATATGAGGAAAAAATTTCTCTCGCAATTCCAAATATTAATATTTTTTCTTATTTTTATGTTTAATAATTTCTTAAAAACAGAAACAAATAAATGATATGGTAAAAGTTTTGTAATTATCACCAGAAAAATAAAACAAAATCTCAAATTTTGCAGACAAACCTGTCTGTCTACAACTACTATCTTTAAAATATATTGCAAATAATTATTTTGTCATTAATTAATAAAGTATTGGATGTTAACAAAAGCAAATACCTTTAAACAATTTTTTTTAACCATGCTTATTTGTTAAGCCGTCTTACATAGGTTTTTGTACATTATTTAGTCAGCGCTGGGCTAGGGCCGCACTTATCTTTAGTCAACTGATGGCTAAATTATGATTTAGCAAATCACCCGCCATTTAGAAAAAACATATTAGTAATAGACTAATAGGGTGCACTAAACATGGAATTTCATTTCTTCGTCCTTTTTCCGTGTGAAGAAATTTAACTGTAAACTCAATTAGAGACCACTTTGTCCCTCTATGTACGTAATGTAATTAAGCTGTTATCTCTAATAACTCAGTTCCTTAATAGATTATGTCCTCAGAGGTACAATTAAACGTGGAAAAATCTGAAGAGTGGATAGGATTGTAGTTATTGCATGCTGATCTTAACTAGAGTACTGTTCACATATTTCCACTTAAGTATATATCTCGTAATAATTTTATTAAAAAGGCAACTATTAGGAGGAAGTGAATAAAAATCAAATGTAAAATAAAATAAGTGAAATAATGGAGAGAGATAAAAAGTAAAAAAAAAATGTCGTAAAAATGTTGTGGGAAGAGAATTATTTTTGTTATTCACACAAAAAAGAGTATTACTCTAGTTCATAAAGTAATTTAATTTTTCTAGTAATTTCTTTCTCAATTGTGAACTTAAAAAACGCCTTAAGGGGAGTAAATTAAAAAGGGATCATACTAGCCTTTGCTAATTTTTATAGAGCGGCGAGGGAAGAGAGGTTATCTCCGTGGCCAACACCATTATTGACATTGTGAATCATATTCCTGCATTGTGGTTTTTCTGAGGAACATTTTTCATCATGCTTCATTTTCCAAGTGGCCTTCCTGCTCTTCGCCAGTTACGCTTAGACTCATCACAGAAAATATATTAGTTAACGGGAAAATCCCCGCGTGATGCATTCTGTTGCTGCTGTGATGCTAATACTTATGCATATTATTGACATGCTGAAATATCTTTACATTATTCAACCTCTGATTGTTTTACGGCATTTTGGATGGTCACTATGTCATCGCAGCTATGGCAACTGGAGACGCTTCTTTTACAAAAAGACACGTATCTCAACTACAGTCAAGCTCTAAGTTACACAAGCCAAGCTCTGAGCCAGAATCTACAGGGGTTAAGGAAGAAAAGTCCAATACGAAGAATGAGCCGAAGATTGATCTACTATTTGCAAGAGAATTGGAGGAGACTTTGGGTTTTAACACTGTGGGGTTGCATAATGATTGGGCTGTTCACGTGGAAGTTTATCCAGTACAAGCAGAAAGATGCATTTCATATCATGGGTTACTGTCTTCCCACGGCTAAAGGTGGGGCTGAGACTCTAAAGTTCAACATGGCCCTTATACTCTTGCCTGTGTGCAGGAACACCATAACATGGCTCAGGTCTACAACCAAGCTGGGCTATGCTGTACCTTTTGATGACAACATTAACTTTCACAAGGTACGCACTAAAACTGTAATTCCACCGTGGAACCTATTAAGTAGGGGATTAAACTTGTCATAACCAACCTCATTCAACTCAATCCATCATATTTTTTTTAACCATTGATTAGGTTGGATTGAGCTTCATTTACTATACTAACTTAGAATTCCGTTACATAATTCATTCATAAATTTTAAATTTGATAAATTCAACTCCACTAAAATAAAAACAATATTTTTTAAGACATTTTATATAAAATAAACAATTTTATAGATAATTATATGAATAATATTCGTGGTGCTATTACAGATAAATATTTTATATGTTATATTATATTCATTGAATTGTAAATAAATTTGTAATTATTATTTTTATATATTAGTATTTTAAAAATTATCATTTATGTTTTTCTTTTAAGTATTACTGTTATCTAATAACAATTATGAAACATTGAAAATGTTAAATTTGATTTTTTTGTTAAGAGTTAAATAAATGAAAATATTTTTTTAATTATTTGATCTAATTCTCTATCTCAATCTAATCTATATTATTAATACTAATAAAAAAAACTTAACCCAATAAAATTTACTTATTTTGGAATGAGAGTTAAAATAATTCAATTCGGACAAATAAATCTTGAGTTTTTTTTTAACAAAAAATAGTTTTTGACACTTAAAAATGGCTAATTATTTTGGTGAGAGAGAAGAAAAAAAAGTAAATATGTATACTGTAATTTAAAAATATGTTTACTGTTAATACGCTAATTATCATATACTATTTGTAAGTTTTTTTTCATACCTTCTATTTGAAAGTTTGAAACATGTAACGACTAGTGGTAAAATTAATGCTTAGCCGTGAAAGCAATTGACAATTATTATAAAACATACATTAAAAGCGTGCATATAAAAAATAAAATATTTTAATCGCATTTATGTGAAAGGTATTTCAATTTTATTAATACTTTAAACTAAAAATATGACCTTTCCATTTTGAATGTATTTCAATTTTATCTAATTTAAATTCCTTACAACTGATGGACATATGTTATTGATAGCATATTTAAACCATTAGATAATTTTCATATATTAAACAAATACACTAAATTGTGCGATTGATATGATTTCTCTTAAATCAATACAGATATTTCATATATTATTGATAAATTAATAATGAAAATATATTAAAGCTTATATTGGATTAATATAATGAGTAAAGTTATCTTAAAAAATGTAATGTCATATATAAAACCAAGGGAAAAAGTAAAACAAGGCATTTCTACCACAAATAAAAAAGATAACAGCAACATAATAATTTATGTACACTAATAGTTTGGTGAAATGATTTCCATTTTTATTGATTCTTATATGATTTCCAGTTTTACTTACTAATTCTTACAGACAATTGCTGGGGCCATTGTGATTGGTATTCTACTTCATGCCGGGGATCACCTTGCTTGTGATTTTCCACGACTTGTAAATACGTCTGAAGAAAGTTATGAAAGGTATTTGAAAGGTGTATTTGGTCATCACAAGCCCAGTTACGGAGACCTAGTTAAAGGGGTCGAGGGTGTGACTGGAATTTTGATGGTGGTTCTTATGATAATAGCATTTACACTTGCAACCAAATGGTTCCGGAGAAATCTCATTAAGCTGCCTAAACCATTTAGTAGGTTCACTGGCTTCAATGCCTTCTGGTATTCACATCATCTGTTTGTCATTGTCTATGTCCTTCTCATCATCCACGGAACAAAACTTTACCTCGTGCATAGATGGTACCTTAAAACGGTATACAATTTTTAGTATCATATTTCAATTATTTAGGATATTTGTCAAATGTTTGTTTACAGGTGAGATTAATTAATTACTTACATACCTGTTTCCCTTTTCAGACATGGATGTATCTTGCGGTTCCAGTTTTACTTTATGCGTCTGAGAGAATAATAAGACTATTTCGTTCTGGTTTGTATACAGTCCGTCTTGGAAAGGTTAGCAAATTAAATACTGTTAGGCTCTGAAAATAGTTTTCAACTTCATAACAAATATGGTTTTATTACTTGTCTTGTGTACAATTGGTCTGGATTGTTAGCATGCAGACTCTAGAGTCATACAAGTAAACTAAAAACTGCGAGGACCTTCCAAGCCTCAAAAACTACACCAACTCTATGACTTTCAAGTAAATTGTAGTCAAAGTTAACAGCACGCTAACATCGTTTTCATTCTCTTTCTTTTTAAAAAAAAAAATGGAATATATTTAGGTTGCCATATATCCTGGAAATGTTCTCACCTTGCAAATGTCTAAACCTCCTCAATTTCGCTACAAGAGCGGACAATACATGTTTGTACAGTGTCCTTCTGTTTCACCGTTTGAGTGGTAAGATGCATTTTAATTTTAAACACAAATATGTTTTATGTTGTTGTGTTACAATTTATATTATGCTTTATAATTGAGACACTTTTTGTAGTATGTGTAATGAATCGAAAGAAAAAAATATGCAACACGATAAGAAGATAGGAAAATTAACTTTCCTCTGCATTTTGGAGTATTTATAAAACAGAGATCGAACCGGTAGTACTTTTGCCTTCGGCCATATTGAACAAAAGTAAAGTGATATTGCAGTTTATGAACTATTAGGAGTCTCGATTTTGCTTCAGAGTGAAACTAGTGCAATTTTTGCTCAATAAGTATAGGTATCTAACAGTAACATCGGACAATATTTTATGCGTCAGGCATCCGTTCTCTATTACCTCAGCCCCTGGCGACGACTACCTGAGTGTTCATATTCGGCAACTGGGTGATTGGACACAGGAGCTTAAAAGGGTGTTCTCTGAGGCCTGTGACCCTCCTGTATCCGGGAAGAGTGGGCTTCTCAGGGCTGATGAAACCACTAAGAAAAGGTAATGTTGCGCTTGCCATTTTTTTTGTGTTGCTTATTTTCGGTCCTGGGGTACTAGGGACAAATAATTTATACATAATTCCAAGCCTACTTATTGTTAACCAACCATTGATACAGTTTGCCGAAGTTAAAGATCGATGGACCTTACGGTGCACCGGCACAAGATTATAAAAAATATGATGTTTTGTTACTAGTCGGTCTCGGGATAGGAGCAACACCTTTCATCAGCATTCTAAAAGATCTTCTCAACAACATCATCAAAATGGAGGAAATGGCGGTGAGTTCCAGCGCTACACAGTATTAGTTAATGAACATTCATACAACAAAGTAGTTACATATTCATATTATATATAGCTTGACTATGATGTGTGATGTGTGGCATACGAATTGTGCTCATGATCATTATTTAAACATATGTAAATTTAGTACGACAAAATATGACAATCAGGGTTACTTCTATACAGGATTCAATCTCGGATATAAGTAGAGGTTCAGACCTTAGTGTTGGGAGTACTGCTGATTCACCATCTCTTAATAAAATTGCACCAAAACGGAAGAAAACACTGAAGACTACCAACGCTTATTTTTACTGGGTTACAAGAGAGCAAGGCTCTTTTGATTGGTTCAAAGGAGTCATGAATGAAGTAGCAGAGCTTGATCAAAGGGTATTTAGTTATCGTAGAAATTTTATTTACTTTTTGATACTTCCTCCGGAAGAAATTTTAGTAGTCCTTTTCCCTGCAACAAGATGAATATTTTCTTTTGCCATGGCTAATGTTGAACATCAAATTTGGACTTCAGGGTGTCATTGAGATGCACAACTACTTGACTAGCGTATACGAGGAAGGGGATGCGAGATCCGCCCTCATCACCATGGTACAAGCACTCAACCATGCGAAAAATGGAGTTGACATTGTTTCTGGGACTAGAGTAAGCCTTCCGGTTTGGTTATTTTTATTTATTATATACTATGGTTAGCATTTAGCCCCATTTTAATGGCATAATCGGAGTGAGTAAATTTAAAACCTCGCTTGCTTCTTTGAATCCCTACTACCAGGTGCGAACTCATTTTGCTAGGCCTAACTGGAAGAAGGTTTTCTCTAAAATGTGCTCCAAACACTTTAATGGACGAATAGGTCAGTTATTCTCCATCAAGCATATTTTGGTAGTCGGTAGACTTTTTTTTTCTCTTTTTTCAGTGTCATTGTTTGAACACGTCAAGTAAACCTTAGATATTACGCCATTTTATTTCTCTGTCTCACTGCTTTATTTTTTTTTTGTATCTTGTTTTATACACGTATCTCACAAATATTCCTTCATTCTTCCTTTTTTATTTTTTTTCTTTTACTAACATTATGGTTATCATGATTCGGATCAGGGGTATTTTATTGTGGTGCGCCAGTTTTGGCCAAAGAACTTAGCAAGCTCTGCTTCGAGTTCAATGAAAAGGGTCCAACAAAATTTGAGTTCCACAAGGAGCACTTTTAAGGACTTTGGACGGAGCGCTCTCAACTGTACCTAAAAGTTAACACGGTCACGTCACAACTTAAACCCGTCATTTTAGTAACTTGGCGTGGTCATATTGTATGATTATATTCAACAAGTAAAACTTTTGTATAGATGTGAAGCATTGTACATAGAGCCAGCAAGATTGCTTGGCATTTCAGTATACATGTGGCCACATAACTAAAGAGATAAGCGCAGTGATACCGTCCACCACCTAGAGTGCGATACAACTACGTTGGAGATGTTGACCTGATTCTGGAGCCACATCAACTATTGGCAGATAGATCCATAGTAGATTGGATATGGACATTTTTGAAAAAAGATAATAGGAGGTAAGGGGACTACAGAATGGGGTTGGAATGCCTTTTTAAGAGCAACTTCTCATTTTCCTTCCAGGGGATTCCAGGAATTCTAGAAAACTAGTGAAGCAAATAACTCACCTCTGCTTCTGCTTGGATCCTAACTGGGAGTGGGGGATTATATATATCTATGTAAATGAAACTGGTATAGTGTATTCCTTTTTCAAAAGTGACCAATACTTATAACCTTTATTTATTTATTTCATTATATAAGTTCAGCAAAACTGTTGGTGTGTGAACACGAATTAAACCATTGAGCGGTTGAAATTTTAATGAGCTCAACTGGTCAATGCATATTAAAGCTATCTGCTCATAGTTTACAAACAAGATCAAAAGTATATTAATAACGGGCCTTCACGAGCCACCTTCTACTTCATTAAAAATCTCATTAGTGCCCACTTGACCAGCGTATAGAAAGCTTCACCATGAAAATTCTTCAGTAAGGTTCCATTCGGCTATAACTTTTTTCCCTTTTACTTTTTAGGCAAAGACTTTTGAATATGATTTAAGCAAGTCTTCAATAAAAGCGACTTGACTTAATTCCAGGTTTGAAAAAGATGTGCTTGAAATAAAGTTCAGATGCTTAATCTCTTCTGCATAATGGAGAAGGGGTTTGTTCATTGTCAGCTGAAATGAAGTTGTAAATAACATGTTGGTGAAAGTTAACAATGTAAATTTTACATTACTCTTTATGCGCCATTTTGATTGCTTGTTTTCTAATTTGCATATCTGAGAATCTATGACGAGAAAAAAATAAAATAAAATCAAACACGTTATTGAAGTTCTTTGTAATGTATTATTATTTATTCCTTTATCTTCGATGAGGTGAAGCAATTGAGAGCGGAAGGCGCGGCGCATCGAGAGGGTGTAGAGTATGAATACATTTCTACGTAGGGCCGGCCAGCAACATTCGTATGATACAGTAAATGGACAGGCAACTGACAAAAGTAGCCCTATGCATTAGCTCTACTGTAAAATGCCAGCCCAATGGGCCAAAAATGGTAGCTATCTCTCATATTCATCAGTGACACGGCTTTTGTGAACTGGAAGTAAAAAAAAAAAATGGTTATATGAAGATCGATTTATCATGTCTCTTTGACCGATTCAGCACATACGGGAAAACCAGATGGAAAGAATCGTGGGCGAAACTTTATGGTATCTGCCAACATTAAAATCCAGTGGGTTGAATTTTATTATGACTTGAATTTTAATTAACTCCCCCGTCAAAGTGTTACAAAATTATTTTCCAGATGCTAAGCTGGGTCTTCATGACCAAATCAAATCATATTTAATTCTCACATTCTCAACCGGCAATAATAAGGTAGTGGAGTGAAACTTGGCCTAATTTATTAATTTGTTACAACGCATTTCTGATCCAATATTCTGCATTTATGTATTTTATATTCTTTCTAACGAGGCAGGATATGTCTTTTCCCCCACTGCTATTTCTAGAATCCCTCAAAGTCATTTCTCTTGAAACATCATCTCCATTTTTTAATCAATAACTCAAATTACATCTAATCTTCTTTGCTTTCAATTTAACAAAGTCCCTATTTAGTCAACAGTCAAGCCGTGCAAATACTGGAAACGCGTCCAAGAAAACATCAATCATGATAATTCCTTATGGCTCAATACCTTAAGGTCAACACAAATACCCCTCTTTTTTCAACCAAAAATTTAACACTGATTGCACAAAATACTAAAATTTATTTATGGGGTTCACTTTCCCACGTGGAAATCGAACACCAAAATCTAATCATATACTTAAAAAATAAGATTGTGTTAGTATTTGAGAGAACAAAACTAAAACTTATATTTAATAACTAAATTTATCTTGTTAATTATTTCGCAGGTAGACGAGATAGAGTAATCGCTATCAACATATAATCAAATATTGATCCAAGTACCCACCACCCATAATGTATAGCAGCAAGAAGACCATCCCATACTAAGTCAAATTCCCACACGCATCACAAATCAAGAATGGCTCAGAGTCCTGATCAGCAGATCAAGCCCTTAGCTCCATTCATATCATCAACCCACTTCAACAGACAAGAAGATCAAGATTACACATTCGAACAGAAAAAAAACATTCGCCTAAGAAAGTTCATTCTGTGCTTCGGTTGTGCCACTGCAATTGTTGTGTTACTTGTTGTCATAGTATTGGTCTTGGGCTTCACCGTTTACAGTGTCAAAGAACCCGAGGTGAGGATGAACAGGGTTACCCTTCTCAGTGGAACTTTTGCCAACGGTGCTACTGACAACGTTACACTTCTTGCTGACATCTCTGTGAAGAATCGAAACGCTTTTATCTTCAGGTTTGGAAACGCCACCACTGATGTTTACTATGATGGTGCGGGAATAGGTGTGGGTGCATCTCCATCAGGGAAAGCCAAGGCCAGAAGGACCATAAGGGTCAACACCACCATAGAGATTATGGCAAAGAAGCTTTTGGAGAATCCAAATATGGTTACTGACCTAAAGGATCAAGCTTTTAATGTCAGCAGCTATACCAGGATCCATGGTAAGGTCAAAATACTTAACATTTTTCCCAAGAAAGTTGTGGTTAAGATGAATTGCACAATTGCATACAACATCACCACTGGGTTGGTCACAAATGGTGACAATTGTCTTGGAACCGTTGATATTTAGGTTGGTTGTAACGTTAATTCTTGTGAAATTATTTAGGATGATAGTATAGTTTTGTGTCTTGTAGTAACAAATAGATAGATGGTTTTTCGCACCTGAATTTTATCAGATTATGAATATATGATTTTGAGCTTTCGGTTAACAACCTCCTTTAATCGTATGGTAAGTGTTGGGTACTGTTACTCCTAGTTTTTTCTATAAACCTTTTTCAGAAGTTTATCATGATTATTTTTGTAATATGTTTTTATTCCAAATTACTTATTGTGTTCATTATTTTTTATTTTTTAATATCTTTAACAGATATACACTCTATACTATAGTAGAAGAGATTACAAGGATATATTTCAGTAGTTCGAATATATAAATTTTGACAAATTGTTATTATTAATTAAATTAACTAAATCCCTATGCATTGATTAAAAAAATCCTGTAATAATGACCACTGGCAATAAAACCTATCAGTAACAAGCTGAATAATGAACATCCGAAAAGATGTGTTAACCACCAAGAGTTACATGGAACCTTTTGACAATGAGACTAGTAACATTTTTCTCATTCTCTACAAACAAGAATGCAACATTGATTTCTTCCCATAGTTAAGATATTTTTCACACCCTTAATTTTTTATAATATTGTGATAAAAAGAGATAGGAAGAAATGATATATTTATATATATATATATATATATATATAAATAATAACAGTTAATTTGTAAGAGATAAATATGAATAGTAAATCAAAATATTAACTGATACACTTCTTATTTATTTGAAATAGACCGTCAACTTGTTTTATAATGTTAAGGTTGCTGTTCCAGTTTGACCAGAGTTCAAACTCCAATATAGCTAAGTCATAATGCAAAAATTGTTGGTACGTCAATGTTATCTGTCTGTTTTAAGTACATATACAAAATCTTATACAAATATGAAATTATTTTAACAAATTGATAATCATAATAGTGTGAAATTGTAATTTAGTAGTTAAATTAAAGCAAGTTGTATAAAATTTAATTATCCAGATCAAATATGAAATGAGTCAAAAGTTTTATGAAAATTTATCATTTTCCCTAAAAGAGTCCTAATCAAAAGAAACTCATCACTGTGATTGGTAGGTGTAAATTGAATGATGAAGTGGATATAGAAACCAAACACTATTCCCAAAACCAAAAGGACAGAGCTTCACCCATTCCGATACCTGAAAGGCATCAGACACGTTGGAGAGGGAAACCATGGCATGGCACAGCATGCACGCTCAAATCAAAGACAAAAGAAAGAGGTCGCTCTTCTTCCACACACAACACAACACAACCCTCTTCTCTTTACTTGTCCCTTTCATTCTCATTTTTGGTGCTACACATTAAATACTCACTTCTGTCTCACTCAAAAACACTTTTCCTTCCCTTCACCCAAAAAGAAGATCTCACTTTCACTGCTCATGTCCCCATCTTTCCCACTTCTCTGACCGCATTTTCCCTTCTCTCCACTAACCATGAATCATACTGCATATTATTAAACCCCTTAGCTTTATCATTCCTCCACACCGATCATTATTAATTCAATCCCATCTTCGTTTCTTGTTTTTCTTTAATCGACAACCACCTAGCCAGCTTCCCGAGGCAAACATCCTCCCTCCAACACAACCCATTGTTTCGATCAGAATATGGAACAACCCAAACCTCATTTTTCACCAGTACCACTTCTATTACACTGTTGGTTCAAAAGTGGTGCCTGTGCTAGGTACCATACACATCAAAAGTTCGAATTCTTCTTTCACTCTCTCACAAAGAAGAGTTTTCCAATATACATACATTCCTACATACACATGCATATATTACTATATCTCAAACCAACAGCTATTGATTATTACTATATCTCAAAGGCACTTGGCACTCGTAGGTTTTTCAGATAATTCAGGAGATATGTCGTGCAATGGATCGCTCGCAGATCGTGGCAGCTCAGGACACTCGCATTCTGCATATATCAACCCACAACAAGTCAATAAATAAATTGAAGTAAAACTCTCCAAACAGAAAGCTTTCAAGTTCCTTATTAAGTTATCTAATCAAAACTTAAATTTTGCTTTAATAATCCATGTTTACAATTTAAAAAGGGGTACTATTTTTGATACAGATGAGATTAAAAAACTCTGAAAAGAATTACAATTAAATATTGGTTTTCTAAGTGGATTTGGAACTCCTGACTAAAAGTAAAAAAATAATTTCTTCCAGATACAGAACATTTCTGAACAAATGTTTTTCAGTGGATACAATTCTAGAAATCAACTTCTAATCATAACTTAAAAGACAAGGTTATATGTTAACCAAATTCAACACATTAATTCGATCACTGCATCTTTTGTTTTATCACTTACGACAATATTTTACTCTTTCCTCCCTGTTCTATCTATTCACATGCTGCAAAAAAATAGTGTATTTTTAACATATTTCAATAATGATGATAATAATAAAAATGGTCCCACACACAGGGAAAAAGAAAACAAAATAGTAATTTACCAGTAGAAGATGCATTGAAAGACCTCTTGCAATGCAGAATAGCACCCTGAATCCAATCATGCTGCTGCAACAGCGAATCATCACGCCGTTTCGAGGACTCCATCGGCGGCGGCGGCGGCGCCGTCGAACGACCCTTGCCTAAATGCTTGCGTAGGCCCGCAGGCAGGGGAACATTCCCCTGTTTCTGCCCCTTCACGTTGGCTGTTCCCTCAGTCTCAGAACCCTCAGCTTCAGGTGGAACCTTCTCCGCCACCGTAGAACATGGCGCCGCAGCTTTAGCCGACTCAGGCGAACTGACGTCAACCTGATCGGAAAACTTCATCTTGTCCGCGTACCTTTTGGAAACCCTGACGTAGAGAGGCTTGACCATCTTCAAATACTTCCGCATTAAGCGCTTCTCCTCAGCAGGAGAAGAAAGCATCTCTGCGTGCGTGTGGGGCTCGGTTTGTGTGGATTCCGTTTCCTCTGCGCTTTGATTGTGCGAGGGTTTGGCTCTGGAGCTGTTATCTCTGGTGAACAAGGAGACGATGGGAACCTCTTCGACCTTGAAGTTGACGGTGAAAAGCTTCCTCTGACGCTGGTTCTTGGGGTGGGTGGGGGGTTCGTTGGGGGCGTTGGGCTTTGGCTTCTTCAGGCCCAGCATGAAGACGCGGAACTTAGTGGCGGATTTGAAAAAAGAGGAAGTGAAGTGAGGCTTGGAGTTCGGTGGGGAGTTGAGAAGGAGGTTTCCCTTGAAGATTACATGGTGAGAGGGAGAGAGGGAAATGGTGGGGTGGTTGGAGGAAGAAGGAGAAAGTGTGAAGTTGAAGTCTTTGTCTGAGTCTGAACTGTTATCATCATCTTGGTCGTCGTCGTTTTGAGTTTGAACGGTGTCGTCTTGGGAATCATCTTCGTCGGTTAAGGCCAACTCTAAGTCGAAGAAAGGGCCGTTGTCGGAGTGAATTAGGGTGTTATCGTTTTGGGTGGCATTGGGAGCAGGTTTCCAGTATTTGAGGAAGTTGAAGGGCTCCATGGCTGGGAGTGAAAGAGAATGAGAAGAGAAGAAGAAGAAGAAGACAAAGATGAAGATGAAGAAGAGAAGGTGGTGTGGGTTTTATTTTGTTTTGTCAGTTTGCTTGATTGCAGGTGAGTCATGTCATGTGAGATGAGTCAGATAAATTTCCATTGCATGTATTGGGGGATACAAAGTGAGAATTTTGTTTAATTAGATTTTTATGAAATTTTTTTATTTATATTTGTAAACATAACATGTAATTAATACACAAATATATTTTTTTTACTTTTTTTATGTTAAGAATAGAATATATTATAATTTTAAAAATAGTTATTATAATATATATTAAAAAATAATAAAAATATTTAAATAAATATATGATACATAATTAATAACAAATTAATATGTTTAAAAATAAAATTAAAATAATATTTTTTAAATTAATTAAAAAATATTAATAAAAAACGTTGCTTCTTAATTTTTAATAAATAATTTTATTTAAATATATGAATTCTTTTGTTTTTATTTTTTTAATCATATCAAACTAGCTGTTCATTTGTTTTTTCAATTATAAATATTTTTTTATAATTAAGTAAATTTGTATTCCGTCTCCTAATTCAAATAAAATATTAATGAAAATATTTAAGTTAATGAAAACATTTAAGTTAACCACATATCGCATGAATATTTGAAAAAAAAATATATATATATATATATAATATAAATAAATAAAGATATTTGAAATAAATTAATTTATGAATTATGATATATTGATAATCCAATTTTTTTATATATTTATTCAATAATTTATTTTTATATTATTTTTTATTTATCTTATTTTTTATTTTTTTCATTAATAAAAAAATATTATTTTAAAATTATTTATGAGATATTTTAAAAAATTGGTATAAATATTTTTTCCTTAATTTATTTAACATATTATTGAATCAAACTAAATCTACATACTACAATTTAAAAGCAATTTTCAAAGAAATAAAATATATAATTAAATATCACTTATATTATTTTGTATGAGACAATTGTCTTAAAGACAGTGATAACAATTTGTTTAAGCAAAAGTGATAATAATCCTAAATATATTTTTAATTTTGTCTTTCTTTCTTTATTTCAATACCACCCTTGACAATAGTTTTTGAAAACATTTTTATTAAAACAACCATCTTAATTTATACATACACAAGTAACTAACTATTTGTATATAAACTTATTTTTTATATTTAAAATTTATTTTTAATTTAAAATGAACATTTAAAATAATAATATAGAGTTACTTTCAGTGATTAATTTTAAAAATATATATAATCCTTTATTTACATTAAAAAGTAAAATATGCTTACCGTTCTCTAAAATATTTAAAAGTTAATTTTAGTTCCACTTAAGCATTCTCTTCCCTCAATATCTTTTTATTTTAAAATGTGACGTATTTTAAAAGTAGAGAGATTAAAACACATAAATATTTAAAAGAAATTGAAATTCAACTTTAAATTGGTAAGAAATATGTTTTACCCTATATATTAAAAAAAAAAACATTTTTATAAACTTTTTCTTCAACAAATTTTTTTACGAGTTTTTTTCTTCAACCATAGGATTTTTAGGAACTTTTTCTTTGAGTTCTCAATTTTTCAGTCAATCCTTGTAGTCTTTTATTTTTAAATTAAACTTTAGCAATATTTAAAATAAATTATCAATACTCAAAAATAAACTTTGCATCACAATATAAGTTATTCATTGTAATTTTAAATAGAAATTATGTACTTAATTTTGTATTATTATTTTATTGAAATAAAACTTATACATGTAAATTATTAATTTACTATAATTTAATCATAAAAGACACGTTTATTCCAAGTATTTCACGTAATAAAAGGAAAAAATAAAAAAAATAAAACATTAAATAAATAGATCAAGATGTGAAATAGATAGTTTGAGACTGTTGAAAGATACTCCTTCTACATTAAATTATTTAGTTTTTTTTTTTTTCATTGTGACTTCTTCTTTCTTTTCTTTTTCAATCAAACAGTGCATTATAGAGGCAATATTATTAAATTGTTTTTACTTTTAAATTATATGTTTATAATATAATAATAAATAATTACGTCATTTTAAATGTACATTATAATAAATAAATAAATAAATAAACAGCTTTAACTGTTGTACATGTTTCAGCTGGTAACTGAGTGTACTACTAATCGTTGTTTCATTTATTTCATAGATTATTTAATTAATCCGTGAATTTATTTAAGCCAAACAAACAAGTCTGTTTAATTAAAAAAGTTACCTCATTATTTACCAAAAATGTATTAAAAAATACGTGAAATTGAAACACAACAAAGTACCAAACCCAACACGACCAGGATTAATGCTAAGATTGCATTCTACATTCAATAATTGAAAATTTTAAAATTATAATTTTTTTTTTGGAAAATTAAAATTTTAAAAAGAGGTGTAATGTTTTTTTTATTTATTTTACATATAAGTCATTGACTAGTTTTATAAAATATCTCTAAGTTTAATAATTTTTAATTATTATTATTTTTCTCCAAATTGACTCATCATCACATTTCGGACAAAACTAACCCATCAATCATCAATTAAATTAAATACACGACTAACAGAGTAGACACAATTATTTAAGAAGATATAATATTATTTTCGCACCATTATTTAAATATTGATGTAATTTAATTTATTTCAAGAAACAGACATTTAAAAATGAAGTAACTATTTATAAAATTGATTAACTCACTCATTCGTTTAATAAACATTGTATTAACGAAGAGTAGTTAAAAAAAATAAAAAAGGAGAATATTGGATAGAAGGAAACATACACATAGGGCTCACTTTTCTGCTGTATTTTTAGGCTGCAGAGTGCAGACCTACTCGCCTGCAACTTTATGGGGCCTCTCTTCCATTCCTCATTTGCATTCTACTGTTCTCTGCAATCTACACTGCATGGTGCTGTCAACCCTTTCCACAAATTTTATGCGTGTTCCAGTTTTTAAAACACTATGTTTGTATTTTACTACAAAATTTATACGATCAGTATTTTAGTGGAAAAGTCTTCACAGAAATTTCAGTAACAAGCATGAATTATGCATGTTCTGAGTTAGTTCACATGTGAAAATGGGGACCCTCTTCAGGGTTGCAGATCTGAAGAGTAGCAGAGAGGGTGAAAAGTGGAGGCATGTGATGTGCAGTGTGAGATTTGAGATCTTGCAGCATCGTGATGAAGCCTCTACACCATTTATTAGTGCCAAGTTCTAATCGAGGAACAAAATAAATATCATGTGGCTATCATCCTAGACCCCCCATCCATTTTAGGTTTCACATTCACCATTCTTGGTAGGATTTGACCCCTTTTCTTATTCTTTCTGCATCATTTATCAAACCATACACGTTTAGGTAACGTTTTGTTGTTTGGTTGACACAGAATCATGTGTGACTTCACCAAAGTCCATACAAAAAAATTATGATGTATATTCACTATTGAAACAAAAAATGATCACTTCCATTTTTCACCATCACCGCACAATCATCACCCAAAGTAAAAATTTGAATTTTCAATATAGTCTGTGGCCTCTTCTAAGCTTCTTTATTTGTGAAGTTCCCTTAATTTTACTGCGTATACCCAACATAAAAAAAAAAAAAAGATTTTTGTGAATTAATTTTAAAATGATAGAATTTTTGTTTGGATATTTCTATTATATAAACACGTTACTATTAAAAGTGTTTATTATTTTATTTTTTATATAAATAAAGATAAGTTATTTCAACTTTTAAGCCCCACATAGGTGTGTAGTGCAAAGTAGTCAAAACTATATAGGTTTCATCCATTCCCCTGTGACATATCGGGAAATGTTGGCAAGTAAAAACAACAATAAAAAGCAGACTTGCTTGTACCATAAAAGATCCCTATTTCCCATTCCAACAAATAAATTAGCATTAAATTGAAGTGGATTCGTGCCAAAATTGGGATTTGTACACAAAACATCCTTTTCTGTAAGCATGAAACAGGTAAAAGAATATATTTACATTGATTTCCACGTAATGGAATGGTTCTTTCTAAGGAATAACCTTCACTGGGCATTCATATGCAAAAGGGAGATTGTCCTGCATGCCATGTCTCCTTACTTTTCTAAAGCTTCTTAGTATATTTTAAAAGCAAATTCACCTTTTCTAAACCACCCATTTTGATTTTCAATTTTAAAAGTTTTGTTAATTTCACACTTCACCCTTCAGATATCACTCAAGCGCTATGTAGTAGTCTTGTTGGTCCAAGTTTTAATAGGCTTACACTGTTTATGATCAATCCAAAAGAACCACCAAATAATTATATGCCGAGATTTGAAGATGAGAAGTTGACTTGATTTCATTCACTTTTTGGGTCAGTAAAAACAAAAACTAGATTGATGAGTTAGGTGTGTTATGAGCCCATGGGCCGAACTATACTTCGTAGTGGCCCATATGAAAAACCGTACCGGCACAATTGTAATTGCTAAGGGTAACAGCCGACGCATATTCGTTATTGATGAAAGAATCTCTCAACTAACTCCATTAGCCTCCCGTTTATGATTCTAAAGGATATTCCTTCATAAAGATTTGTACAGCAACTCAACAATGAATGAGAGGGATGAAGAAAAACAAAAAAAATTAGAGTTTTATGTTATAAAATGTTGTTGAATAAATAACATTGTTCCATTCTAAATGTCCACACTACCAGTGTTCCAATCAAACATTTATTTTCAAATGAAATGAAGGACAAATACAAAAAGAATCACCATTCTCGTCCATGAACAGATCCAGGTTGTTCATCTTCAATAACAAGAGAGAAACAAGAAGACCCATAACTCAACCCTTTTCTTCTCCTTGCCCTGCTTTCTCTGCTTTCTCTGCCTTCTGCATCAACCTTTTTGAGACTCACTAAAGTAAGCTGTGTTTATCCTTTTGGTATACTTTTTACACTTTACAACCCAAATAATAGTCCCTCCAATTTTACTTTAATCTTTATTAGTGCTACTCGTTCATTCATTGTCTGATTTCTGGGTATTCATTATAACTATCAAATAATTTATTTATTTTATACTGTTATGTGAAAATTTCATAAATTATGTATATCAAATTAGATCATTTGATATATTCCTGCAATATCTTGACATTAATTACTATCTAATTTTTTTTTTCACAAGAGTTATTCTGTTAATTCTTAAACTTAATATTTTTTGTTTGGGAATATCGTTTACACGATATTGTTTAAAATATAAAATACAACATATTATTCATTTGGATTGATTTAAAATTTGGATTTAAAAACAGATATAATCTAAATAATTTTTGGTTTTCATCACAAACAAATTTTTGAGTTTTGTATTCGATGGATCTGATTTTAAACATTATGCTCATTAAAAAAAATTAAGAAATGTTATTTTTCTCTTAATTTAATTCGTGCAGGCTACAAGTTTTACAATATTCTTATAACTAATAAAACTATTTACAATAATCAAGTGTGAAACTTCTTTTCCTCCAATTAAAGTATCGAATTGAATCGAAATGTTCTATATCAACGCATTTAGATCCTGGGATTGATTGTATGCGAATTTTATTCACGCCAACGCTGATTGAGAATTTGACCTCAATTTACACGAGGAATTTGGGTTTGAAGGGTCCAATCCTATGTATTCGCTTTTATTCTTTAATTAAGCATGATGCAAAGAAAAGAACAATTATAGGCACTAAATTCTAGGCTTAACTTGAAGTAAATTGAATAACAGAAATTTTGCTTGAGCTATAAGATGATGATATGAAATTTCTTGTCAACTCAAGCAATGGTATTCATTTCATCTTGAAATTAAACTCCACAGTAGCCAGGTGATGATACCAATGCGAGTGGGGTAATTGAAATGAATCACAAGGTTTTCTCATGGATATGGGACACGTATCCCACGTACTGGTCCCACTTTTGCTTTACATGCACCCGAAGATTCTGCTATTTGTCTATTAACAAACGCTGGAACACCTTTTTCAATTATGGGCCGGCCCGGCCCGGGTATTTTGGTCAAATTCACCACCGCGTAGCTTCGTTCACTCCAATTTTCTTAAGAGCTAAGTTGTTTTGTTTATTTTCTAGATTCAAAATTTCAAATTTCTAATATTTTTAACTTAATAAACAATAATAAATCTATTGTACACGGGAATCTAGTACGATGGTCCCCACAGAAAAAGTCCTACGTGTCGCAGATCTGTGTGCTGCAATAAGGCGATATTTTGTTTGTTGAACCGCGTGTGTGACTTTGAAGCACCGGTGACGGGGTTCCTGCCACGCGTCCAAATTCATGTCATTCAAATTAAGTTTCTTAACGGCTTGGGTCCCTTGGCGCTTGCGAAACCACACTTGCGTCGGGTCGGATCACATTTTAGACCCAGAACCGATTCATGGTATTTTGGGTCCTACAATTGAACGGCGCAGATGCATTGATCATGATCACCCACGCTATTTAGAGATGGAAATGGTAGATAGCGAGAGGTACTTTTGTTCTAGCACACAAACACCCCCCCCCCACACTCTCTTGGTGGAAAGAGGAGTTTCTTATTCCTTCTAGACGCTTCCATTGATCGGCGATCCCAAACGTGATTCTGATAGATGGCGGAGCACCACGAGCACGAGGAGGCGAAGGGTGAATCGTTGTTGGACAAGATTTCCGCGAAGATCCACGACCACGATTCTTCGTCTTCGTCGGATTCCGACAACGAGAAAACCGGGCCCTCTGATTCCTTCAAGTCAAAGGTTTTCAGGCTTTTCGGAAGGGAAAAGCCCATTCACCATGTTCTTGGCGGTGGAAAACGTACGCGATTACCGTTTTCTGATTTTTCTTCATTCTTAATTTCTACTAGTTCGTATTTTGTCTTCTCAATTTCTATGCTGAGTCCACTTACTTTCTTTGATTCCGAGTCAAGAGACTGTTTCTTGCTTCTGAGTGATTTATTGAAGTTGGCCCATAGTGGGTCTAGGGTTTATGAGGTTCTAGCGAGATCTTGGTTGTTCCGATCGTTGTTCCTGTGTCTTTTTTATTTTTTCTTGAACGTAAAAGATTGACATAGAGCTTTAGGGTTTAGATCTGCTATCCCCTGTTTTTCCAGTCGTTTTTTTTTTTAATTTCTCCCCAATTAATATATACTCTAAAAGATCGAACATCCTAGCTTTGGTAATTGATGGATTATTTTGTTTGATGATTAAATTTCACCTTTTTTTCCCTGTATTTAAATAGTGGAGACAATAATTGAGAACTCCTCTTGACTATAATATAGCGCAATGGTTTCTCTCATATGTTAAATTAATGTAATTTTTTTTTTCAATTAATAATATTGGATTTTCGGTGTTTGTTCTTTTTTACTAAATTTTTTGTTATGCAACAGCGGCTGATGTTTTTCTATGGAGAAATAAGAAGATATCAGCATCGACACTCGGAGTTGCTACAGCTATATGGGTTCTGTTTGAATTGCTTGAGTACCATCTTCTCACTTTGGTTTGTCACTTCGTGATACTTGCTCTCGCGGGGTTGTTCTTGTGGTCCAATGCATCTACATTCATCAACAAGTAAATTGTTATTACTGAAATTTGATTTGGCTTTCTGAACTTCGTTTCATTATTCTGTAGTTGATTAAATTGCTTGTTTTGATGTTCATCAGGAGTCCGCCCAAGATCCCACAGGTGCACATTCCAGAGCAGCCTGTATTACAATTTGCCTCTGCTCTGAGAATTGAGATCAATCGGGCTTTTTCAGTATTAAGGGATATTGCATCTGGAAGGGATCTCAAGAAGTTCTTATCTGTACGTTGATTCCAATTTATAGCCAATGAATAATAATAATAATAATCTGGCAGCGGGATGACGATAATTTGTGTGTCCTACAATGTTGCAGATTTGGTTTCCGATTTCAAACTTTTGGTGTTATTAAAACTGATATGGTTTTTGTTTTGTATTATTTAGGTTATTGCTGGACTATGGGTTTTCTCTATTCTGGGGAGTTGCGCTAACTTCTTGACGTTGTTTTACATAGGTAATGCCTGGTTTCTTTATCCTTTGATATTTACTGTCTTGAAAGTTCAAACATTAACCTGAATTGTATATATTGCGATGTGATATGTTTCTATGATATCGTGAAACAGCTTTTGTTTTGCTCCACACTGTGCCTGTGATATATGAGAAATATGAAGATCAAGTGGACTCTTTTGGTGAGAAGGCGATTGCCGAGATTAAGAAGCAATATGCAGTGTTTGATGCCAAGGTTTTGAGCAAGATACCCAAAGGACCTTTAAAAGATAAAAAGAAAGATTGAAGTGGTACTAGAGTTGGACAAGTATGTTGTAGTGGGGTTTCATCAATGTTCTGTTAAATTTAGATTCATCATCACTTAAAACCCTATGATCATGTCATTTTATTATTTTAGGGTTCTTTACTTACTAGACATTGTGAAAAAAGAGAGTATCTTTTATGTATTTTTCTACTGGTTTACTTACATGTACCCCTCAAGAAATCCTATATCCTTATGGATGACTTGTTATTGTGCTGTATTTATATCATGAATACATATACCCTGTGCATTTGAATGCTTTCGGAAAATTATTGGTAAGTATTTTTTTATAACTTATGACGGGGTTACCCATCCAATGCTTGCACTGATTCCTCCTCAAAATCAAGTAAATTATGTATCCCCTGATCATACAGGTTAAAAGCTGCCCGGGTTCAAATGTTGTCATCTGTCATTTCATTTCATTTGATTTCTTTGTATGTTGGTTCAGTACACTTTAAAATGAGTAAGATCTTAAGACACGAGGCATATATATTTTCCAAATTTTGGTAAATTAATTACCAAATTTATTAATGTGGATTGTGAAAATTAAAGAGCTTGTACTATCGTCACATACTGAAAGACCCAAGCCACGTCGAGGTTGATGGTAAAGAAAAATTTAGTATACTGCATATGGCAGGAAGGTAAACTTTAAATATACAAGTCACAGGTCTTGGTAATGCAATGTGATAGACTGAGCTTTATCAATGATTCCTCTTGGAGGTAAATTTTTATCAGCCATTTTTCATAAAATAATTCAATGACATTATTCAGTTATGATATTTTGTAGAAAACAGTAGAGTCTCTTTTAACAGTAGAAAATATTTTAATAAAATATTAATGTTATTTAATGTTTACTATTTATATAATTATAAATAGATTAATGGCACACTATAAAATGAAGCTTTGTTTAATTCATATATATATATATATATATATATATATATATATATATATATATATATGAATTAGTGATGTAATATTTAGATATATTTCAATAACTTACGATAAAGTTTTGATATTTAAAAATATCGTAATTTTGATAAATATATAAATAATAGTTCTTTTATAAAATGTGATATTATAGCTTGGTTATTTAATTATAATTTAAAAAATTCAATGTTATTAATGAATGTGTCATTTAGTGTATTAATGAATACTTATGTAGATGCATAAACAGGAAACTTCTTCCTTGTATAAATGACACTATTCTATTATTAATAACTATTTAAAGCAAAATTTAGTATGATATAGTTTATTTATTTACTTAAAGTTTTAAAATCCGATGTAAAAATATATGTACAAGTAGGAAATCTGTGATCTCTATATAGAAGAAATTAGTATTTCATTTAATATTTTTTAATTAATATTTAAGATGATGCATAAATATGAATCTTCTTTTCTGTATATAACATGTCACTATTGTATTATTCAAATAAAATTTATAAATAAAACTTAATACAAATGTATAAATAAACATTTTCCTTATGCAGTATGATACAATTTTGTTGATTAACTAAAATATAAAGAAATTTAGTTTACAGAACATTTTAAACATTACACGCAGACACTATATATATATATATATATATATATATATATATATATATATATATATATTATTTTACAAATGACATGGTTAAAAAAATGATTTAGTTTTGTTATTTCATTTAAATTTGAAAAAGGTTTGTGTGTGTTTATTTAATCATTAAGGTTTTATTTAATTTTATTAATGCAATGTATACATACAGGAGAATTTTTCTTATATGGAATGACAATTTGATTGCTTGATAGACTTTAAAATTAATTTTGTGTGATTGTTCCCGTAACAACTTACTTTAAAGATATTTTTTGAAAATTCAAATACATTAATTTTTATAAAAATTAAATTAATGAAATTGAAATTTCAGCTTTATAAAAAATACCGTATCATTATTATTCTCAATACGTATAATGACTCGTACAAATTGATACTCGTGTACTGTATAAATAACTGTATTTATGTGTTTGAAATATTATTATTACTTTTAATGTAGATATTATTAAGCATGAATATTTTTATTATGTTTCTTTTTCTCCCTTAATAATATTGTATTTTTTTAGAGTTACTAATATATATACATATATATATATATATATATATATATATATATAATTATATTTGATTCACTATTTTTTATATTTAATTTGAATATTGTTTATATCCATAATTTAATGAGTATTTTAATATGAGATTATTAATCATGATTTCTCATTATGTTTGTTTTTCTTTCTTAATATTGTGTGATTGGAATATTTATAACAAACATAATTTTATTATAATAAATATGATTTTGATGGCTTTCTGTCTCGTTCTGTTTACTGGTTCCCATAAATATTGTCTCTGAAGTTAACCAAGTCTTGCCTTTTCAGAATCAAAATGGACTCTTGAAGTGATAGTGTTGATGGAAAGAATATTTGTAGAAATGTAAGATAATGAAAATATATCATTCAACGAAGAAGCAACAAAATATTTCTCCTAACATTGTGTATAATGGTCCCATTCTCATTTTATTTAAAGCTCAAATTCTTCACCATTACTAAGATAAACTTGGTGGGTTAGTTACATAAATTATGCACATCCATATTATGTTATTATTATATTGAGGTTGACAAAAAAATAGCTACGTACATCGTGATTCATCATGATTGAAAATGTTCCAAATGCCATATTGAATCAAATCTCTTATTTCTAGTTTACATTTCAAGTTAAAGCATCTAAATAACAAATATAATGTCAATAACTAAAGCTTCTTTTGCTTTTAGTGGTTGACAAAAACTGCTAAAACACCTTTTTTATGGGGCAACATAAGTTTTCATTGTAACTGCTTAGTTCCTAAGCTGAAGGGAATGAATGAAGCAAGGTATTCTCGGAAAGTATATAGAGGTGTTGTCTGATAGGTGCACGATCAGAAGAAAGTGTTTCCACACTGTAACATTGAAATGTACTTTGCAGTCTCGGTAACCTTCATAGGAAGTAAGACAACTGCTGCTGCTTCCTTGAACCCCCTTCTCCGTACAAATCATTCCACCGTTTCAACTCAGTCATTCCAGCTCCTTCAGCTGCAAAGCTTGCAGCAACCTGTGGTTCAACAAGCTATAGATTTCTCACAAGATTTTTTGTCAAGTTCTCACAAATATTAATGTTATGTTAAACAAACTCCCATGAAGTAATATTTCTTTATTGGTTAGAGTGGTGTTACCTGATTCTTGGCCTCTCTGAAATCCTGCATATTCAAAGGCCTAAGGGTGATGATTCTTTCTTGCCTAACTACCTCTTTTCCATATAGAGGAGCATCTTGAGTAGTTCCTACAATAGATGGTCCAGCTTGACTATATTGGACATTTTCATTCTGTCCTTCGGCAGCTTTCTGCTTTTTATCCTGCCCCCAAGTAAAGAAAAACAACATTCAGAGGTTAACATGATGAACACGAAATATAGGATCACATAATAATTAGAAACATTTTGTACAGTTTTCACTTACCAGACTCTTTAGCCTCTCTTGCTGAATTAGTTCTCTAACAGGCCGATAAGCAGCAGTTGTACACAAGTTCTACAGGGACAGGTTGTCACAGTGAATAGGTAGGGTAGTTAAAAGCACAAAAACCAAAAAAACACTTGTTACACGAAACTAAGTCCAATGATAACAATATAAAAGAATAGTAAAAACCTTAAGATCACTTCCAGTATATCCTTCTGTCATAGTTGCAAGTTCCTTAAAATCAAGCTCGTTGTCCACCTTCTCTTTTGATAGAAGAGTCTTCAAAATCTTTTCCCTGCTGTCCACAGACGGTAGTCCAACCATAATTCTGCATTAAATAGATTCAAAAGATGATATTACTTGGTTTCATGCATGGAATCCAGGTCGTCATACACATCATTAGGTATAGCTATGTATGCAATCATTGGCCATTATATTGCGACTCTCATCTGCTTTCTTCCACCCTTAAACATAAGGAAGAGGAAGTACTAATACTATGAATATAAATGGAGAGAGTAGAGTTGTAGAGACAAGATGAAGGATGGATTAAAAATCAAGAACTATTGTAGGTACCTTCTTTCAAATCGCCTAATAATAGCTTCATCGAGATCAAATGGCCTATTGGTTGCAGCAAGAACAAGGATTCTCTCCCCTTGCTTTGTTAAAAGTCCATCCCAATGGCTCATAAATTCATTCTTAATTTTCCTCATGGCTTCGTGCTCCCCAACTCTGGTACGTTGTCCAAGCATGCTATCAACCTCATCCACGAATATAATAGTTGGGGAGACCTTGGCTGCAAGTGTGAATAAAGCGCGAACATTCTTTTCATCTTCACCAAACCATTTCGAAGTAATGGTAGACATGGAAACATTGATGAAACTTGCTCCAGCCTCCTTTGCAATGGCCTTTGCTAGCATGGTCTTCCCAGTACCAGGAGGCCCAAACAGCAATATTCCTCTACAAGGCTTTAGAAGGCCTCCAGTGAAAAGATCCGGCCTTCGTAGTGGAAGCATTACTAGTTCTTGAAGAGATTCTTTGGTCTCATCTAAGGCACCAATGTCAGAGAATGTGACATCTATCTCATTTGCTGGTATTACCTCAGGCCTTATTCGCTTCTCAAACTCATTATCAGGAGGAACTTCCTGAAAGTGAATCATGCAAGGTACAATGAATGACATGAAATTTACAGAATATATAGGAAGATATTGTCAGCAGAATAGGAAGGGGTATTTCAAAATTCTAAGATATTACTATTGTAATATTGTTACAAAAGAAAATTCCATGAAGGCTTACAGGGGCTTTGGGTGTAGGAGCTGATTTTTCACCATCTCCCTTTCCCACCGAAGTTGGTATTTCCGCTTCAGCCTTTTTCACAGGAGCAGCATTTTCAGACTTTGCTTCTGATTTCATAACAGTTACTTCCTCTCTTTGCTTCTTTATGTTCATGAGAAAGAAAGAGAGAGCATT